CTAAGGCAAATGTAACAAAATCGCATACGCTATAATCTATCATTTTTTTAGGCTATAGAGCGCGCTAAAGAAATAGACATACAAACACACACACGAGAATTACACCCTCCTTTTGGGGCAGTCGGTCAAAAATGAGTATGAATGCTACAAATATTTTGCAAATAAATGCGTTAATCATTTAGGTTTACTTAATTTAATATTTTCAATTTAGTAAAGAATACATATAAATAAATAACGTAACATAATTTATGAAATCTTAGAATAATAATTGTAATATTTTAAAATAATTGACCCTTCGAAAACTTTCATTTAAAAATCTCTTTCAGTTTTTTCATTTCATAAATAAGAATTACGTATTATAATTTTTTTGTTAAGTATAATATAATATGAATAATAAAATGTAATTTTTTTTAAAATGTAACGGAGAGAAATTACTATTTCAACAAAGTATTTAAGAAATGTTTAAAGACTAGATGCATTTATGTACAGCAGCGGCGCACAAAGACGGTGAGTTGATGGATTTTATGCAATTTTCAGTATCTATCACATCCAGCACTCCGCTGTTCGAACCCGTAGGGATTAGCTTCGATCTTTTCCCAATACTTACAATGTAAACAGTTTAAGCGCTTGACGCCTAAGAAATAACAACCGACGAAGATAACAAGCCGTCACAAGCATAGACATAGTTAAAGGCATGTGTCGTGTTGCTTTTGGCAGGCTTATCTAATATTCGTTGCTCATTAGAAAACGAAACATAAATTCTAATATATCATATTATGTTACTTTCTTTAAATTCAATTACTTGTTTAGGATCAAGAATCGGAAGAACAGCATTACTGTAATTTTACGTACAATTTGTATTGACTGTGTCATCATCTTCATCGTTATTACAGCCCAAGACAAGTTCGCTGGTGAACCATAAATTACACTGAAGCATATTCTGGAGCTACCTGCATCAATCTACTTCCTGAATGTTTCATCAGGTCGTCATTCCATCTAGATACAGTCGGCAAATACTTTTTAGAGTTTGCCAGTTTGAGGCTTCCACTCGAGAACCTTTCTTCCTCATCAGCTGAATTGCCTTGCCTTGTGTAATTCACTTTTTATGGGAAAAGGGTGAAATGTGGGCACACAGTCCACCTGATGGTAAGTGGTTGCTGTGGCCCATAGACATCTACATCCATCCTCGTTTGCGAATCAAAATGAAGATGCGTTTTCAGCCTTGAGGACTAAGATGGAATACCTCCTTTCCAGTAAAAAGGGTCTCCGGTTCTCTACACTCACCATAAGAAACAAAGCAGCATTAAGCTGATATTTGACGCTGGTATTCTGGGAGAGCGTGGTCCTTCCCCGTTCGAGTCGACCCATTCGTGCTACAACTATACAATTAATATAGCTGCAGCGTGGCTATACCACGTAAAACTAAAATCTAAAAAAATCTACCACGTCTCTTACAACAATGCGTTAAATGCAGACATAATATTCACCAACAATCCTATAAATTCAGACTGTTAGTACTACGTAAAAAAACATCAGTCAAGTGGAAATCCAACTTGGCCGCATAAATATGTTTCCTTATTCGTAATTTTCTGTAATCCTCTCGGAATACTATAAAATCTTATTTTCGTAGAATAATATTTTTTACTGATTTGACTTTCAGTGTTTTAGAAATGTATGAGGTGATCGCCAGCGTGCTGGTTCTGTTAAAATTCTTATAAAAAATTGTACAAAATGATTGTAAATTGATATATGTTTAAAAAAATTCCACTGAGTTTCTTGCTGGTTCTTCCCAGGACACAGGTTTCTTCGGAACCAGTGGTAAATAAAAAATAACTTTATCTTTATCGAATAAAAATCATTCGATTCCATTCTGTCCGATTATATAGATTTTACTTACACAACACATACAACTTTTTATTCATTATTGTAAGGGAGAGCGTTAAGTAAATTGATGCATTAATCTTTTTTCATAGAAGATGGGGCTAACTAGTATGCGCTGCACCTGATGTTAAGTGACTACCGCCGCCCATGATCAACCGCAACACCAGGGGAATTGCAGGTGCGTTGCCGGCCCTTTAGAAAAGAGTAAGCTCTTTTCTTGAAGGTCCCCAGGTCGTATCGGTCCGGAAAAATTGCCGGTGGTAAATTATTCCACAGAGAGGTCGTACGCGGAAGAAAACTCCTTGTGCAACGTACAGTGGTGGACCGCCAGGCATCCAGATGGTGTGGATGGTATCAGGACGTTTGCCGCGTAGTGCGTACACGAAATTTGGCAGCTGGGATTAATCCGAACAATTCCTCAGAGCATTCCGCATGGTATATCTTCTCTATATATAATTATATTATAAACGCGAACTATATAAGATTATATCCATATATAATCTTATGTAGTTCTTCATATCTAAGTATGTTCTTTTTTTTGCAATGCTGTCGAGGTGAGAGTAATCTCTCAAATTCAGATGATATACAAAACAAGAATAGAATCATGTAGTGACGATATACCTAAAACGTGGACGGAATACATTTTTAGTCATAGGAACCATTTTCAATTTCACGGCTCAATCTTTGTGTGCTCGGGGTGAATATATAAAAGGGCATTCGTTGATGTCAACAAAGTGTAATGGTTTCGTGCTAGGTCGCGTTTGATCTATGCGTTCGAATCGGGACCGATTTCAATTTGCAAAAAAGAAATTAATAGTTAGCACCTGAGTTTTTTTTAATATTAAAATTTTTATGTAAAGTATGTATGGATTCAATAAATATTATTATTATTATTATTTATATTTTTTAATTCAGGGGTATAATAACAAAGGCGGCAAAGTCCTACAACGTTATTATCTGATATTTTTAATATCAATAAAACACGAAAATCGTATTATACTAGCTACAAGAAAAATGAATTAAGTACTAGGTATTAGTGTAAAATGCTCGGTGTTTGGACTGGGAACGACTTTTGACAAATTATTTAAGAACGTGTATTAGGGGACACGGCTATTACACTCATGATTGATCGTGTTGATAGCGCACCGGCAAACATTGCTGTTTTTGTAAAACTGTAAAATATAATGTTTAATCCTGGTGATTAATCGTCTATGTACTCTTTATTTTAAGGAGCGTAGCATTGTGAGCGGTAGTAAATTGGCAAACAGGGTTAACTCGGGTTACTTTTTCATTTTATTCTGTATCGAAAACATCGTATAATATATTAAATACAATATAAAGTTTTTTACATTTTATATATTGCATATAAGCATCGACCTTAAATTCTTTAACAAACCAAATATATATTTATATATATAATGTATAAGGCCTTATATATAATTATATGTATAAGGCGGCATCTATTAGGTCAGCATTCATTTGAAAACCGCTTATTTATTTTGTATGGAGGAAATCCATCATCTTTTATCGTGCCCTTTTATGACAGCCTCGTAAAGGTTGTTATGGATATTAGGTAAAATTAACAGCACTTTGAAAGTTTTGACATGAAAAAATTATAACGTAAATCATTTTGTATAGGAATTACTCATCTTTATAATAAGGATTATTCATTTTTTCAAATAAGGGTTTATATGACATACTATTTCGATAAGTAATTCAAATTAAAAAAATAACGTTTCAAAATTCTATATTGTTAACAAAAATGATAATTATCATTTCTTAAGAGAAGTGAGGGCCAACAAGCATGTTGCTCACCTGATGGTAAGTGTTGACCGCCGCTCATAAACGACTATAACACTGGGAATATAGGGAATTGCAGATGCGTTGCCGGCCTTTTAAAAAGTAGTAAGCTCATTTCTTGAAGGTCCTAAAAATCACTAGTGGCAAACACAGACACAACAAAGAAGTCATGCGAGAAGAAAAACTCCTAGTTTATCGCACAGTGGTGGAACGTCAAGCATCCAAATGGTGTCAACGGTAACGTAAGTTTTGTCGTGACGTGCGTTGCTCAAGGAGAAAATTTCTTTTATTATACACATGGTCTAACAAATTTATGTTTATATAAACCTAAAAAATATAATTTTTCTTTTATCATTGCATTCATGTATTTTTAAATGTCCGAAAATAGTATCGTTTTAAGGGAATATCTTTTTGTGTGTCTTGAAAAGAAACGTTTATATCGTTTCCAAACCAATTTATTTCTACGCTTGGTTTTGTAGAATGGAACGTTTAAATAAATAAACAAACATTTATTTAACAAAACATTTATTTATTTTAAAATCGATTTCTACACTGCAAGTCTCTATAAAAGTTAAAGTTTAAGATACAGCCTATATACGTCCCACTGTTGGGCACTGGTTTCCTCTTATTTCTGAGAGAGTTTCTATACGCTACGTTGTAAGGAAATTCTCCTTAATTGTTAGGCTTAGAACTAATTTTGTCTCAACTTTTGATGCTACAGTTGCATTTTTCACACTTATTTGTATTCATTATATAAGTTTTTCTGACAGTAGCGATTTAGCCGATAGTTACAAAAGTTATTATTATATATTTGTATATAATTTAAATTGATATAAATATATTACTGAATGATCTCCAGTTATTTAAACAAACGGCAACAATTGAGTTATAATTATTTTATGAATTATTGTTTACCCTCTGCCCATTCGATATTACACGTTAGGCGGTCTGATCGCGGTTACACTCTCTAGGGAAATCAACACCACAATTACATCTCAAATACTACAAGGAATATCACTCTGACAGACTTTTAAGACCTTTATAAGTATATTTTGAAAGAGCCTTCAGACGTGGATCCCTAGCGTTTTAGTATTTTTACACAAAAGCATTATTTACTAAGTCATGAAGTAGGATGGGAATCTTTAAAGGCATCTTAATTCTATGTTTAAAATATTATGTAGAATTTTACATGTTCCTTTTTTTATGAATTTTTTAACTCTAGTCAGTTTGATGAAAATTCATTGAGTAAGTCTTTAAAAAATATTGTGATCAAAATAAATTCCTCTTCTCACTTCTTTTGAGTATTTTTTCCAATATTATCATATGGCATGCGTTTCCTCGAAGAAATGTCCTCTCTGGATCATATTAGTAATACTGCATCTTCTCACAATTTTTTCAAATTGCATTTGAACTGAATGAATCGTTAGTACAAATCTAATTTGCATTTGAATAATCAAAAAAAATTTGCAAAGCCTACATCATTGTTACAAACACATAACATTTATTTTTATATTTTACAGAATTATAGTCGTTATTATAAATTAATATAGAAATTGAATCCTAAAAGTGGGTTTGTGATAATAGTATGAATATTCAGAAGCTCCGGGCATCCCAGAGGATAGAGCCCTTTCGAGCATAAGAGATGAATCGCGGATGGTGAGTTTCAAAACAATATGATATTATCGCGGCATTTAGACGTTCCTAATAAGATTTACTTCAATATAAATGCGCATCAAGGCGTCCATTATTAAGACGTATTATCTGATTCAAACTGTAGATACTAATGCTACGTATTTGAAGTCAGTTGAGCGAGCTCCTAGAATTGTGTAAATGAAAATTGACGCCTTGAATATATTTATATATATTTAAATACGCTTACGGATAAATAAATACAAAGAACTGGTATTTTAATGCCATTTTGTTATGACATAACAGAAGAACCCCTCTATTACGGAACAATTGTGTTCGTCAACCTTTGGATTCATAAAAAAAAACCAGATGATTAATTATTTTTCAACCCTCTTCAAAACACCGTCTTATTCTTATAAAAACATCCGTTATTTTCCAGTTCGATGGCAACAAAAATATTCAAGTAAAATTTTGTTTTAGATTTAATTGAAAAAAAAAACATTAGTTTTGATTTAGGATATAAAGATTACTGTATTAATTTTCAGTAGCAAATCAAAATATTTTGAATTGAAAGATTTTGGATGAAGAAAGACGTTTAGTATAAGTGGAACTTGTATAGGTTTAATGGAGTAGTGACATGAAGGTTTTTTTTAAATAATAAAGGTGACAAACGATCACATTGCCTACTTGATGCTATGTGGATACTGTGATATAGGCACTTACATCTATCATCGTTTAGGAGTGAAAATATTTGTTATCATTTTTATCCCGAAGATTATGTTAGAGTGCCTCTTTACTAATAAAAAAGTTCTTCACACATACTCAGGTATACTATACAAATGAAACGAAACAGCAACATTAAACTATTTTACGACAGTATTTTGTGAGAGTGCAGTATTTTTCCAGGTCGAGGTGACACATTCATACTGCAACTATAATATAGCTGATCAGGAAAGGACCACACTCTCACAGAATACCAGTGTGAAAAAGCATCTTAATGCGAGTGTTTCGTATGATGAGTGTAAGGAACCGGAGGCCGTTTTTATTGCAACCGAGGCATTACATCTCAGTCCTTAGAGGTTAAAACAAATCTGCATTTTGATTCTTAATTGAGGACAAAAGTTAATGTCTGTGGGCCAAAGCATCTACTTACCAACAGGTGGACTGTGTGCTCGTTTGTCGCCCTTATTATATACAAAAAACGCGTGGATATACTACGTTAACTAAGCTTTTTAGTTTTCGTGCCGAAGCTTTTTAGTTTTAAGGTCGTGTGGTGTTGACGTCAGAGAATTCATCACTCCAATTTTAACCTTGGGTGTTTTTTTTAAAATAAAACAATGTTAAAAACGAGCACACAGTTCACCTGATGGTAAGTGGTTGCTGTGACTCATAGACATCTACATCTATCCTCGATTACGAATCAAAATGAAGATGCGTTGTCACCCGTGAGTACCTACTAAGATGGAATGCCTCGTTTCCAGTAAAAAGGGTCTGCGGTTTTCTGCACTAACCATACGATGCACATCATCATTAAGCTACTATTTTACGCTGGTATTCTGTGAGAGCGTGGTCCTTCCCCGGTCAAGCCGACCAATTTGTGGTACAACTATGCTACTAATATAACTGCAGCATGGCTTTACTACGTAAATAAGGGTGTCGTAAGAATCTACTATTGGAAATGCCAAAAAATTTAATAACTTACGATCAATGGCAGTGCAACCATCTCGTTTACGTCAGGCGTAAATACCCAGACTGACAGCAGGCAAAAACACCGATGTCCCGTCGTATTTTTTTTGACGGTTAAGGCAAATTTTTTGTACTACAGAAGAGACTTTTGTGCTGTTGTGTCATGCTGGCAGTCTTAATCACAGATGGAATAATGTCCCCAGACTAACTTTCGGTCACGGGAAACTAGCCATCTGCGCGGGACAAGGCGCAAACATAGGTGCACTATATATTCTCTCTATGTTATAGTCCGATCGGACGGCAACGAACGAACGGAGACTAATTAAACCAACCAACGGCTTAACTTGCTTTCCGAGACACGATGTGAAACATCACCAACTTCCTGATTTAGGGCTGCCACCCAACAATTTTTTTGGCTTGGTACGAACCCACATGAGTAGTAAGAGCAGTAACGTTTAGTATAATTAGACCAACGGGATAATATGCCTAAGTGGTATTTACGACAAATCCATATAATTCCGCCTATTGCAAGAAATAAACATTGCCACATGGCAGCGTTGGACTCAGTGAAGAGACGTGTTAGGAGGCTCATTAGTAACCTTGATTTGGTAAAAACCAATCTTGTCAACATGTCTTACATAGGTCAAACAAAAATATCTATAAAAACCCGCGTGAAGGAGTATAAAGCTGACGTGAAGCACCGACGCTCCGGGAAGTCTGCAGTCTGCGAACATGTGAACAAGATCGTCCCCACCATTACATTAGATTTGATAAACCACAAATCCTCACAAAAGCGATTCCTACCAAGGATGATATGCGAGGCTATTTAAATTATTAAAAAACATCCAAATTTCAATAAAGTATATGGATGGGTGCTGCCATCTGCTTGGGATACTATAATTAACAAAATTAAACCTAAACACAAGCATACTTCAGACTTCTAATACTATAAGTTCGTTTTGCGTAAATCGGACCAAAAATTAATATTCAAAAACCGAAGGTAGGCGGAATAACTATGACATTGGGACGTCAAACATCTCAGTCCCCCCCGTGACCATGGGTGCTGTAAAGCACCCGAAACGTCGGGATAATAAAAGTTAAAGTAGTCATTAAGCGCAATGAAATCCGTAAATAATAGTTGTATTCAATCTTGTCAACTTCGAGCACAGGCGCAGAGTAGCCAGTCTCTCAGTATTCTATAGAATGCATTTCGGTTAGTGTGCGCAGAAATTACACGCTTTAATCCCTCCTACTCCTTTTCACCATCGGAGAACCAGGTGGTCCGCGGGTCACCCCTTTATTGTAGATATTCTACGCATAGGAACCAAATGGTTTGCTTTTTCTTTTGTAATGCGTACAGCAAAGGAGTGGAATAATTTTTCGGCGTCTATTTTTCCATCCGAATACAATCTGGGCGTCTTCAAAGTAAGAGTGAATAGGCTTTTGTTACGATAAAACAGTAGTATTTACCATCTAGGACTTCTTTACCACATACCACCAGGTGGGATTGTGGTAAAGCACTGCCTTATAATAAGTTTTAAAAAAAGATGATGACCATTAGTCTAGACTAGACCGGTAAATATGGAAAAAAGTCGTTACATTACGACTTATTAGGAGAATTGGATTCGCCCTAGCTCACGTGCATTGAACGTTTTGAACAGGGCCACTAAAAGCGGACCGCCGTAAACAAGAATTAACACCGAAACTGCACCGACCACAGCACTCTCCTTTATGGTGACATGATAAAAGCTTCTCGTTTTAAGAGTTAAATGCATAATAAATGAAATACGATGCATTGATTTATGCTTGCGATATTAAATATTTTTTTTATTATAATCAAATGAAAACTGTTTTATTAGAGGCGTTTATAAATATGAGCCTCTTTACAAATGATTTAGTTGTAAATTATTAATTCTATCGAAACTGGCTTGCTTTAAACCTAGTTTATTTGTTAAGTTGTACCTACTAAAATTGACTAGCCATGGTCACCTGTTGGTTGTTCTTTTCTTCGATTCGATAGTTCTCTTGTAGGCGTCTATATTAATAAATATATGGTGTAATTTAAAAAAAATCAGATTTACAAGGAAATAATAATTTTTCATGAATTTGTTGCAAAATGGTTTTGTGTCGATATATTGTTTATTATATAAACGTAAATCCATTACGTCTACAATAGTCTGTTTGTATGATTCCAATGCTCGAACGGAAACTCAGGCCCGAGACTGTATAACAATATATTTTACCGCTGATGCATCACTTGGGAGTTGCCGTCCTCTTTTTTCTTAACAATATGGGCGCCTCGGGCTCAGTGCGCGGCTAGTGGGCATCCCCGTTAACAAGCTTTTCTAAATATTTTATTACAACAGTTATGAAAACACAAAATAGTAAGAAAAATGTATACAATGATCTGAAGTCGTCAGTTTCAAGTTGTCAAGGTTTTTAATATCTTTTAATAACCTTGACAACTTGAAATATATTATAAAATATGCAGAATAAAGAATTTGTGGTCGTCCAGAGGTCCAAATTTGAATTTAATTCTTTACATTTTAGGTTGTATATTAAGCATTTTTAGGTTTGCATATTAAAAAAGACAAAATTAACCATATGTAGCCTTGATACACTCCTCAAAGAATATTTGAAATCACATAAAATTCCCAGCTTATTTAGTTAATTCTGTCAGTAATTATGTGTTAACAATATTTTTACATTCTTTGGCGAGAATTTTTAATCTTCGCGACTACCACCCAGCAATAGAATTCAGTTGTAGGTGATCCGATTTTAGGTTTAGTAACGTATAAATTTATATATATATATATATGTATATATATAAAAAAAAAAAACAATATGTAACAAAAACCCTGTGGTTCCCGTTAAGTGCGTTATCAGAATCAGTATTCAAACGTATAGAAATTACTTTACTTCAGAAAACTCGACATAAAAATAATCAAATTAAATTTTAATTAAATAATATTTGTAAATTTTATGTGGATTGATTACCTCTGCCTGGAATAATCGAGAGTGGCGGGCGGCGGGCGGCGGCCGGCGGTGATGTATATTAAAGACGGGGCGCGCGCGCGCGTCTTACCTACACTAACTGCACACTGAGGTCGTGACCTCGTCACATCACAGCTGTTATAGTCAAACACTAATTTATCACTATGTCTACTTGACGACCACGAAGATGTTGTTCAATATGTCCATCTTGCACCTCTATACATTTGTGACACCGACTTATAATGTCTGAATGCACGCGTTGCAACAGGTATTTTGGACTTTATTTTTTCAAAGGCTGCGACTATACGCATACGCATTTCTGCCTCGGTATCGCATGTTTTTTGGAATACAGTCTGCTTAATCGTACCCCAGAGATAAAGATCTAAAGGTGTGAGATCAGGTGATCGTGCCGGCCAGTTGACCGATCCACCGCGGCCAATCCATCTTTCACCGAACTCAGTATCCAAAAAACTTCTTACACAACGGGAGAAATGCGGTGGAGCACCATCCTGTTGAAACCACATGAGACGAACGAGGTCTAAATTTATTTCGTCAAGTTCATTGCTTAGTTCTTCTCGCAAAAAACGTCCGTAGTTTTCACCGCTCATTGTGTGGTCTAGGCAATACGGACCAATAATTTTGTCACTTATAATTCCCGCCCACACATTGATTTTCCATCGGTGTTGAAAGTGGCTTGGTTTATACGAATGCGGATTTGTCGTTGACCATACATGTTCATTATGAGCATTAAATACACCTGTTCTTACAAAAGAGCATTCATCCGTAAAAAGTACGCGGTTCAATAACTCAGAATCTCCTTCAACCTTATCAAGTAACCATCTACAATAATCCATTCTCGGCTCGTAGTCATTAGGAAGAAGACACTGAACTCGACGATAATGATATGGGTGCTGGCCATCATCTTTGAGAGCTCTCCAAACGCGCATATAGTTCACACCTAGTTCACGTGCCACCGAGCGCGTGCTCCGCGTCACATCTTCCTCAAACATGTCGTGAATGTGCCCCTCGATGTCGTCGTCGTACATCCTCGGGCTTCCTGAATCTGTACGTTGTTGATCACGGCCATGCACACTTCCAGTATTGTACATACGAATGTGAAGTCATTGGAACGTCATTGCCGACGGCGTGGAGTAGCAAAGCACTCCCCGTAAAGTCTTCGTGCTGCTGCATAATTGCAGTTACATTTCCCGAGACACATCAACATATTAAATATATCGGGTGTCCGGTAATGAATGGATAACCTTGAAATGTCTTATAGTACAACTTATGGCCGTCCTGAAAAATATACGAAAAATAATGTATCACAAGTAGTACCTTTGATATATTTTTTTAAAGAAAAGTCGATTCTTTTCTATCTTATTTTACTGTCTTGAACACTATGACCAAAAATCAATGATTTCTATTGGTTTTTTGTTATATTATTATTATACACTAACTGTGCTTATAGGTAAAATGTAAACAATATGAATAGCTTTTGCAGTTTTTATTTAAAAAATTCGCAAATCAATTTATTTCTGAAAAACATGCAAAAAATATTATTTAAGCGAAGTTCAAACCTCTTGGGTATGAAAAAAATGTATGAATGTATGGGTGACCAATAATTTTACAATAATATCGGTTTCGTTTGAATTTTATAATGGTATAATTTATAAATGTATCTTCCATAAATAGTGACTTATTGCCATTAATGTAGAAAAGGAGAAAATTTGACTAAGTAACAAAATTTGTAATATGGGAACATTTATTAAATTGAATTGTGTATAAGCACAGTTAGTGTTTAATAATAATATAACAAAAAACCAATAGAAATCATTCATTTTTGGTCATAGTGTTCAAGACAGTAAAATAAGATAGAAAAGAATCGACTTTTCTTTAAAAAAAATATATCAAAGGTACTACTTGTGATATATTATTTTTCGTATTTTTTTCAGGACGGCCATAAGTTGTACTATAAGACATTTCAAGGTTATCCATTCATTACTGGACACCCTGTATATACCTCGTTTGAGTAAGACATCGCACACAAGTCACTCACGGCGGAATATTAACCCTCGATCACTCGCGCGGTTTTTTAGCCCCGCGAGAACTCGCGGGGTGTTGCGGCCACCCCATAAACTTGAACTAGATTTATAGACATACGGTTGCTGTAAGTGCAATTATGAAAACATTTTGTTCTTTTGTATGGTTTGTGGTATAAAATACAAAATAGAAATTTTGATAATCGTTTTTTAATTATTTTTTACAAAACATTATAATAATCAGACTTTTTGTTCAAAATATTGAGACTATTCCTCAAAAAGACTAAATAAAATCAACTTCTTACATTCTAACAAATATTTTTTTATCAAAAACCAATTATAAGGAGTGCTTGACGAGTTTGCAAAATTGTTTCTCATTTCTCACTACACGAATCGCAAATAAACTTCATATGTTTTTGGCACATAGATTTTTTTACAAAAATTACAGTGGCTCATTGTTTTTATGTCTTTGGAACGAGGACAAACTATGCATCGCTGCTTTTTTGTCGGTGACACTCCTTCAGAACTTAGCCCAGGAGCATTCAACATTCTCTTGAGTGCTCTCGGTAACGAAACTTGAGTAGATCTCTTTTGAATTTGTCCTTGAACCATACTCAAACCAACAGATTCCAAAAACTCAGTTCGTTCCATTTTTGGTTGGGTTTGCGCGACGTTACAATTATGGATAACATAAGCATTGATACCAGAAGTATCCAGAATGTGAAAAAAAAACCTCAGTGGCCATCGTGAACATATCCTTGAAACACTATAGTTACCACACATTTGGTCAGCCGTATCAACGCCACCTTTTGTTTCATTGTAGAATAAGACTATTTCTGGTTTTTGCTCCTTAGTGGCTGTTGTGATAATGTTGTCATTATTGTCATGCATTGTAGATATTAGTAATACATTTTTTTTCTGTTTAGGACAATATGATACAAGAGTTAATGGCAACTTGTAGTGAAACCCGAATATAGAAGTTCCAACTTTTCGTTGGTTGACAAAAGCTGTGGGTAACTCTTTTTTATTTTTTCGCAGTGTGCCTACCACCGTTATTTTATTTTTCAACAGTTCTTCTGCTAACGGGAGGTTAGTATACCAATTATCACAAGTCAGATTCCTTCCAGAACCTAAAATCGGTGTACATAATCGCATTACTATATCGGTTGGCTTGTAGCTCACTTTGTAAGGTCCATTTGGTTGTTGACCTAGATATGGCTCACTTTGATAAGTGTAAAATGTCTTTGCATCGCATAATGCAAAATTTTTCAAACCATATCGCCCGGGCTTACTTGGTATATATTGCCGAAAAATACAGCGCCCCCCGAAATTTCAGTAATTGTTCATCTATCGTGAAGTTTTCGTTGAGACTATAATTTTCAATACAATGATTGTTGAATTGCGTAAAAATGTTTCTGATTGGGGAAAATCTGTCTGTAGCATTTCTTGACTCACGAGTATTTACATCATCAAAGCGCAAACATTTTAGAAGGAAAGAAAACCTGTTGTAGCTCATAGTTTTGTGAAAAATTGCAATGCCTAATCTAGACTCATCCCACAAATCTTGAAGCTTTCTATGACTAGACTTACACAACCCAGACAGGATTAGTAAACCAATCAAAGCTTCTATTTCCGTTTGATCGGTCTTTTTGCAATCTCTTTCACGTGCGTATTTACTGCTAATTTTCTCAATATACGTATTTGTGCAAGTGGTTATCTCTGCTATCATATTATCGGTAACATAAAGTTGAAAACACTCAAGTGGAGATTTAGAAAACTTAGCCATACCTTTTGGACCTGGGGCTTCAGACATTATATTTTGAGAACGGGTTCTTACTGCAGTACGTCCCTTTACTTTGAACCACTTAGTAATTTTATCCTTAGCTAAGAAGAAGCGTTCCTGAGTTTCAGTCTCTTCTGCCTCAGATTCTTCTGACGATGAAGCATTTTGCTCTGACATTGAATCATGATCAGATTCTTCAACGTAATCATCATCGATGCTGGCATCACTTTCGACGGCAACGTTGTCTTCATTGTCCGACATCACAGCTTCCAACATAGCTCTCCAGCTTGCTTGCTTAGACTCCCAACTCATCTGAGAAGAAAATGAAATAAAAACATTGAAATGTAAATAGTAGTAGGTACTTACACACAAAAATATCTAATATTCATGTCTATTATTATTGTTCACACATAAATCAGATAACTTACATATATTTACACTAAATTCTAATGAAAAAAGGTTAAAAACAACTTACCTTGCTGTTTTAGTAAATATGAAAAATATCGCACGAGAACTCGCGGGGTGTTGTGAGCACCCCACGCAAACTTTGACACGTCCTTGCGTTGCAAGCGCAATCGCCACACTGCTCCTCTCACCTCGATTCGTCGCGGTTGATTGTTATTTGAAGCTATTTAGACGCATACGCTCATGAACAAACAAATAGGCATTAATTTTTACGTTTGAAAATCTCTGGGGTGCTGTCAGCACCCCGCGCGAGTGCTCGCGGGTTAATTTCGCAATATAAAACACAACCGTCAATATCAGTGCTAACGCGCTACTGGTGCTTGATGCTTGTTTATTTGCATAGACGTGGCAAAGCTGTTGTACTCTATAACATAATTTAGATATTTTCTAAATCGATAAAAAATTCGTGATTTTTTATGTTATTTTTTTAATAATAGTTATTATTTATTTATTTATTTCAAACAGCGTCCGTAAGTGTTATTAAGAAATTAAATTATAGCTAGGATTAATAAAAATACATTAAAACACTTTTATAACAAGAAACATTTAAAAAATTGTGTTATAAATCCACAAAATAACAAATACTTAAACTATTATGCTGCTATTTTTTAGTTTTTCAAAATCTAATAATTAGCATTTTTTTTATCGACCGACGATTAACAATACTTATTTATATTTCTATTCTTGACTACTGAATTGTGACAAAATTTTATGTTTATAAAACTTCCCATGTTTTTAAATATTACTACTAATATTAGCACAGAATAAATAATAGATACGACGACCACGAAGATGTTGTTCAATATGTCCACCTCTCACACATTTGCGGCACCGGCTTATATGTTTTATCGACCGACGATAAACAACCCTCATTTTTATTTTTATTCTTGATCACTGAATTGTGACAAAATTTTATGTTCATAAAACTTCCCATGTTTTAAATATTACTGCTAAATATTAGCACAGAATAAATAATAGATATTGGATCAAAATTAGTTAATCGGCATATAGTGGACGCTTCTTTTTATCACTCAGAGTGGAGTTTTTTTGGGTTTTTCCTAGTACCTAAGTCCTTCGTCGGCTTTCGCTTTTGAGTTCAAAGAGCGCGCAAAACGCCGCGTATATTACCTATTAATTTTGTTTTGTTTATTATATTCTAGCAATAAACGACAATATGAATTTATTTAAAAAAATAATTACTACCTACTACATAAATTCTTTATCGAATAATATTTCATATGAAAAATACATACTAAATTTCTCCTACAAATAGTTGCAAATTTGGAATTAATCACGATATTTTATGCATGAAATAACCTTTTTAAATATTTTCGTAGATCTTTTTTTGCAAAAAAGTGGAAATTTATAACATAAGTATTCAAATGATACTTATAATATATATAATGATACTAGATGTATTGTTGTAGCACGAATGGGTCGGCTCGACCGGGGAAGGACCACGCTCTCACAGAATACCAGCGTGAAATGGTTGCTTAATGCTGCTGTATTTCGTATGGTGAGTGTAGAGAATCGGAGAACCTTTTTACTGGAATAGAGGCATTCCATCTTAGTCCTCACGGGTGACAACGCATCTGCATTTTGATTCGTAATCGAGGGTAGATGTAGATGTCTTTGGGCCACAGCAATCACATACCACCAGGTGGACTGTGTGCTCGTTTGTCTCCTTATACTATAAAAAATACTATGTGTATTGAGGTTGAAATAATAACCATTTCATCATATTTATTATTTTGAAATTAAAATTTTCTGAGAATAACTGAGTCTAGATAGGTATAAAGATTTACACAAAAACCTTGGGGAAGCACGTGCCGTTTAGCGGCTTGCTTTGAGTCGGCCATGTCAGTGACCTCATATCGGCCGTAGACTATTATTTATTCTGTGACGTAGATAATATTATGTCGGCACGTGTCGGTAAGTTCAGAAGCAAATAACATTTTTAGAAATTTAATATTTCTTAAGTTATCTTATTAGAAACCTAAAAACCCCATTTAAAGCAACCAAAAAAAATTTCATTATCATAATTACTATGCCTATGTTTAGGGTTTTTGTTACATAATGTGTATATATATATATATATATATATATATATATATATATATACGTGTAATCATAAAAAAACAAAGGACATAATTTGTCCAAGCGACAACTATGTGCTTGAAATTGACAGATTATACCTAAATAAATAAAAAAAACAAAGGAAAAAGGAAAAAAAAAGCTTAACCAACCAAAAGAAAGAAAAAAAAAAAACAAAAAAAAAATAATCAAACAATCCTCTCCTCTACCCTCCCCCTCTCCCCCCATAACCTATACTTTTTATAATAATATAATAATTTTAAAAAAAAAATAAAAAAATAAAAAAAAAAACAAAAAAACAAAACACACAAAAAAACCAAAGAGAGGTGTTTGGTTTTATAAAGTTTTATATTTTTTAAAAAAAAAAAAAAAAAAATAATAAAATATAAAGTTTTATTTGATTTATTTTAACGTATTTGTTCCACATATTTCACATAGATGAATTTTAGCTTTCTGTACTTCTTTTTTATATAAACTTTAACTATGCCAAAACTCAAACACCTCCATGCGCGCATTACGCCTAAAAATAGGTACAATGTTTTCCCTTCACGTATTAATAGATAAATCAAGATATGATGTTTTGAAATTGAAACAAAATCGAGTATCCAAATTTTTTTTTAGATGTATAGTCCTTCGTGGCCTTTGTGTGTGTGTGAACTGGAATTGAAGCGTCGTGCTTGAAATGCAAGCGGCAAAAGGCATCAAAGGCTTTATTCACATTCATCGACACGTATCACCAACACCAACAATAGCCTTTGCTGTAAAATATAAAAAAAGATTGCGAATGCATGGTGTAGCATAGAAAAATTCCACACACATATTTCAAATTTACATGCGGCTTTAAAAGACCAAGTTTAGAATCAAAAAAGATTTTATGTATTAAATCGTAACGCAATTATGTAGTAGTGAGTTAAGTTTGATAATTAAGATCGAGATTTTGTCGATGTTCTATTAAAATTTATTGCATAAAGTTGGGACACCGCGAATCGCAACTGTTCTGAGTGAAAGCTTAAAGTTTCAGTAAGGCAGTTACGCTCCCCTTTTGGACGATCGACGTAAATTATTCCCCTAGAAGAAATCTCTAAGGGCTGAATGACGGATAAAGGACGAGCGGTTTTATTGCTTACACCAGGCCCGTCGCAACCGCTTTAAAAATCGACCTTAAATGTTAATTGAGGGATAATGTATTCAACATTGAGTATGATTTCATTTAATTTTTTCGTTATAATTATTTTGAAAATAATAAAATCAAATAGTACTAATAAAATTTGTCATTATAAAAAGCTGTTTTTATTTTAGACATAGTTAATTTTTATGTAAGTTGCGGGTTTTAAAAGAATGATTTGTTTGAACTAAAAGATTTTTTTATACTTTAATAAATACATTCAACAACACATCATTTGAAAGACATTATCTTTACCTGATTTAAATGTAAATAAAATTATTTTGGGCCTTTTCTTTTTACCATTAATATTAAAACTAGACCACTGTCGTACATTTTTAATAAGGTACTTGATTTATTTAGTATAAAAAGTAATCTATTTTAATAATGTTTTTGTCCACAACTTAGAGTGGTGCAGTTTTAATTGCACTGGCTCTCGGAACGTCTGCAGGAAAATCGAGAGTAAAATTTTAATAAAATGGTATTCTTAAATCGTTTATACTCGGGTTTTAATGTTTTAGGGTAATTTTCTTCCTCCGGAATGGCGTTGTAAGTGATAATCAAAACTCCATTTGTACAGATGTTACCGGGGAAATTTCCAGATTTAATACCTTTCTACGATAATAATACCATAAAATAGCTGTAAACGTTAAGATCGTAAGATAGCTTTCATTACAATAAGTGATTGTAATGCTAACGTACATTTCACGTAGACTTAACTTTGTTTGTATACTTCGTAGCGGAGTTCGTAGCGTCGTTACTTCTTTGTAGCAAGCGTACCGACAGCTGTTATTTCCTGTCGCATGCTTTTCCTTTCAACGCGACGTTACCTATTACAAAAATGTCTATCATATAAAATAATTTGGAAATGTATTAATTTAATCCGCTTAGATTCAAAACTCGTTTCCCTGAAATAACTCGACACGAATTTTTCACGTATATTTCTTTCACTCACGAATCCAATTTAATTAAGGCGAGGAACTCGCGGTTAAAATCCTATTTAAGCCGTTTTTATTACCACCCGCCGGGCAAGGACGGTTCGCCACTGCGCTCGAAGAATTTGAGCGCCCGTGAGGATTTCTCTGGCTTTTATCTTAGTAGTCTTTGGGTATGATAGCATGCGATCTGGATGCAAATTTTATTTATTTCACTGATTCATTTCTGTTGTAGTAGATAATTTTACTCCAGAAAATTATAATAACTATAGATATTTGTGTAATAAATAGAATTAGGCACCACTTTGCGGAAATCTATTATAATCACATACTCAATAATTATTTAAATCTAAATGTGCACCCAAATATAAGGGATAGAGGGAAAGAGGTGCGCTCAAGCGTTCTATAGAAAAGGTAAGTAAAACGAACTTTTTTACTTTTGTACTAATGTTTACTAACAGATTTGTGACGTGGTTTCTCTGTGCTGACCATTTGAGTAGTCGTTTCGTCTTTAGTTACTACTACTATCTCTACTGAGATGGATGTGCTCATTCTTTTTCTGCATGATTGACTACGAAACTAGACACGAGGAAATAACCAACATACTCGTAGCACAACGAATCAGTCAGTTGAAGTGGCAATGAGTCGGCCAGGAA